TGGGTACCCATCACAGACCGTGACAGAGAATCTCGGGTACCCATCACAGACCGTGACAGGGAACCCTGGGTACCCATCACAGACCGTGAGAGAGAGGCTCTATATGTATCATAGACCGTGACAGGGAGACTTCAGCCAACAAGTATGGCTTTGATAGAAGAGCACTATATCCATCACAAACTCTGACAAAAACAAAATCCAGAGAGCGATACGAGTCATACTAGAAAGACTCCAGAGAGCAGGGATGATCATCACAGAGAACCTATATCAGCATTGCGGTCGGTAACAGAACGTTACAAAGACTGTTGCAGAAAGGATAAGTGATCTGTGTTAGTACCGTAGACCATCGAAAATACTCTATAACCACAGTTAGATTCTGTATATACGTTTTGTTTATCGATTTGGTATTCTCAATTGTTTCATTACGCGAAAATGAATATTAGGTTAGCATTTTAATGCAAAATAAAAACATAAGGTTTTGAGTATATGTTTTATAATAAAACAAAGTATATAATAAACAATAAACTGAAAAGGTACATTAATGAATTACGATAAAAAAAATGTATCTCGTATTATTTATAGTTTCATAGTTTTTTATTTGATCAGTAGCTTTCGCTGCTGTGTTTATTTGTATATGACTATTTTGGTTACAATTATTGTGCTTTTGTTTTTTATATTTATGCGATTGATACTTTCGATCTTTTTCTAGTCGTGATGTTCTTTTTTCTATTGATTGATTAAGTCGATAACGTCGTTGTCGTTCTCTATTCGTTTGACGAGTTTTAATTAATGATTCTATCTTTTGTAGGGTTTGATTTTTCGACAAAACATTATAATGTGTACGTAAACGGTAATAATTTTTTTGATTTCGCATTCTGTTTTTATACGCTTCAGGATCATTTTCTTTGTGTCTTTGTCGAGATTTACGCATTCTTCTAGCATGTCCGATAAGAAATGTATCTTGTATTGTTGATTTCATTTTAAAAATAAATTGATAAAAGAAAAAAAGAGAAATTTTGAGTTACAATAAAATGTTTTCTGACAAAGGCGCTTCAATTATATAATTCAAAACAGTTAGTCTATCTAAGAAAAATATCAATAATATTGCTCAAATATTTAATTTGTAACAGATAATAAAATATTAATTAAATTCATTGAACATTTTAAACTTAAAAAACAAAAAAATAAAGCAGATATTATTATACCAAGATTAAAGCTATTGCTGACTATGGCTCGAAAACGGCATGACAATAAAAAATGGAAATCAAGACCATCACGTAAGAAAATTCAAGCTAATCGAAACCGGAAACCATGTAAAATTCGTAAAAACAATTCAAAACCTTCTCGTCCAACAAAACCATCTCAGCAAAGAAGAAAAATTGAAAATCATAAAAGTAGATCTTGTACCGTTTCACCAACTTTTGAAGTAGAGTCGAATATAGAAGCGTTTGATGCTCGAATTGTACATAATTTTCTTAGTGAAAGGTAAAATGTTATATGTATCATTTACCTTGTGCATTAGACAACTCTTTCATAGATATTTATCTGAAATTCGACAATCGTGGTATTCTTGTAAATGTTGTACTTGCGAACAACCATTGTGTAATATGCGAACAGCAAAAAAAGAACATGAAAATTATCATGATTGTTTTGTTGGTGATACAATTTGTTCATTTTGTTACGATTTTATTGCAAAAGATGATGTACCCTTTTGTCCACATTCTCGTTGTCGAAATATGATGGAAATACCCATAACACCAATATGTTTAAAATTAGGCTTTCTCGAACAGAGAGCTATAGCACTTATGCATTGTTATATGAGTATATTAATCGTTCGTGGTCATCAATCAGCAATGAAAGGACAAGTAGTACATTGTCAAGTTGATGTTGCTGACAATATAGGCGATCTTTTGCCACTACCTAAATGCTATGAATTCATGGCAGTTATTCAACAAAAGCCTACCAATGATAATGATGAAATAAAATCAACAGTTAGATATTCCGTTAGTGCAATTCAAATTCTTCATGCCATTCAATATCTTATCCAACATCACATTGGATATATGAACAAACAAGTTCTTCCTGTGGAAAAAATTGAAGAGATGTTTCAATGTCGAAAAGAAGACGTTGCACCTATTCGAATTATTGATTCATATGCTTATAATAATTCTACAACGTCTGCTCCGATCATTCTTGATGTTGATGAAGCTGTTTTTGGTCCTAGGTATAAGATGATTTAATAATATTTTCTAATCACACACTTTAAATATTTGAATAGTCGTACTCTCAAACCAGGTGACGATCCTATTTGGAAAATTCAGTCTGGAATGGAAGAATGTACATTTCCATGGATTTATCCAACAGGCGAAGGAGGAGAACTTGATGCTAAACGACCTGTTCCACTTAAACTTCGTGATTATTGTAAATTTCGATTAATGTGTGTTGACAAAAGATGGCAAGCAGATCCAATTTGGACGTTTCGAGCAATGAATTTGATTCAAAGAGATGATCTTTGTACCGCTGTAAATTACCATGCAAAAAGACAATTTAAAAAAGATCGTTTATGCTATAGTATATATCCATGTAAGTGTACCAATTTCCTCACTTATATATAATTTACATCAACAAGACTCAATTGTTCACATCTATAGTAGATACTCTCTTGATAAAAAAAAAAAAAAATCAAACATCTGCTCATTTCCAAGGCGAATTTATTAATTATTTCATTCAATGAAAGGATAGAGTGTAGAAACGGGAGTTGACCTGTGTCTGTTTGTCTTTAACATTTATATCACGTCATTGATATGATACAAACGATCATGCTGTACAGTTTTGGTATAAAAAAAAGCACCAAATAAAATGATACGAAGAACCATGTATTAAATTTGTGGTTTAAAGAGCCACGATGTACAGATATAGTACAAACAATCAGGCATTTAACTTATCCTACAGAGAACCGTGATGTACAAGTTTTATACTAAAGCTCGTGAGTTACAGCCATGGTATCGAGGATCACGCACTGAAGCTGTAGTATAAAGTACCACACAGTAAGATTTAATGTGTAAAAAGGGCGAACGTAGAGATGTGAAACGGGTTTGTTTGAGTCATAAGTCTGTTGATAGATTGACGGAACTGCAAATCTTACGTTAGAAACGGTCAATGTAATTTCTCATGGAAAAAAATTTCGAAACTTTATTTGTAGAAGGGCTAGCTGTCAGCTTCTTTTATAATTATTATTGTTTTATTTAGGCATCGTTTTACTTAACTATCACTGTTTTCATATGCAGATCTATATAAATATGCCGTCTGTTAGTGTAGAGCTAAGTTAATCGGTTTTGGAGGAGAATTACTTGTACAATGTCCTAACAGAAAATTTGAAACTTTAGAATATCCTACTACATTTTAGCTATTGGAAAAGCTGTTCGAGGTACAGCTGCTTTCTGGTCTGTGCCTAGAAAAATTCTACGCTCAATGTATGCAACACTATCGAAGCCAAATATTTTTTTGAGTATCAATTTACAAGATGATGTGGAATTTTTGACTCATATTGATCCAACTCGATTTGGTACTGTGAACGATCCAAATTATCATGCGATTGATACTTTGCCTGATGATGATTATTTACAACTTGTTAACGAGAATAGTGCATTAGTAGCACGAATGTGTCATCGACGAATGCTTGCATTTGAAAAATTTATTAGTGATAAGAAGCATCCTTTTTTCATTGTGTATATCGTTTCCAATTATTTTTTTAAAATTGAATTTCAACGTGATGGTCTTCCTCATCTTCATACGTTACTTTGGCTTGATAATTTTCCTTCTATTGATACACTAGAAGGACGAAAAAGTGTTATAGAATTTATAGATAAATTCCTGAGTACATGTTTGCCAGATAAACAAGAAGATCCCGAAGGTTATTTACTTGTAAAAAAAAAGCAATGGCACATCCACACATTTACCTGTTCCAAAGGCTAGTAAATTGTTTGGAAAATATAATCAATTAATAGTAGAGTCTTTATAGGTAGTTGTAAAGTTCGTATACGTCGAGGACGCAAATTTAAAGATGAAGAAATACAAAAAAATATTAAAGAATCTCAAATAAAAGATATCAATAAAAATTATTTACATCAAAATGAAATATATGAGCAAGTTGATCCAAACAATGATCCTGATCTTTTACAATTAGCAAAAGAAAAAAAGGAATTTTTTGAACGATTGGGATGTCGTTTTGGAAGTCCTTTTGAATTGGCTAACGAAACACATTTTCGAACATACAAAGAAGCCCGCATATTGACAAGAGGTGATCGAGATATTATTATAAAAAGATTAACTGAAGAAGTGAGTTTAATTGATAAAATTTCTTTATTTTGCCGATTTCTTCATTTACATTTTGTACTTATTATTTTCTTGATGGCCAATCGTAGTCTAGACGAATAATTCCGTACAATCTACACTTTTTGAAAACATTTCGTTGCAATCATGATATTCAAGTTATTACCGATCCATGGGCATCTGCAGAATATTTATTTTCTTATGTATCAAAAGATGCCCACATGGAAAAAAATTTAGTATATCAAATGTCAAATTGTACTTGTTCGAGTCTTATGGAAGCCAAAGCAATTCTTCTAAAAACAGGTAATGCAATACTGTCTCATCGTCAAGTTGGTAAAGTTGAAGCATCATGGACAGTACTAGGTATAGGAATACATCAATAATAAAATTTTTTATTAGCTGTAAATTATAGGCATTCCTTTATATCATTCATCAATAAGATGCAAAAGTTTATATATTTCTTTACCATGGGAAGAAGAAAGAATACTGAAACGTGGACGAACTCACGTAAGTAACACAGATGACTTTGTTGAATCACTTACGCATCGATATATAAAACGACCATTTACTCCTTCTGTAATTAATCACATGACTCTCTTTGAATTCTTAACTTGGTTTGATTATGATCGATCTTCTTCAATGCAATTACAAGAAACATTGAAAGAACCACTCGTTGAAAATCCTCTTTGGCGTACTGACTTTAATCAACCACCATTACTGAAAACTTCAAATTTTCTTCCTCGGATCGTTTTATCATGTGGTTCAGTATTGATTCAACATAAAGAACCAGCATGTATTAGTTTTACTTGTCGTTATGATGATTCAATGTTGGCTATGTACTCAATGCTTTCTATTGGAATTCCATATCGAGACCCAATTAAAGAATTCCTGGGTGGTAAATTAGGTATTTTGTATAGATCCAATAAATATATTTTATAAAATATTATGCATTGATTGTTTAGAAAATGATTTGAACGCTATCCATAAATTATTGCTGAACAATAAATCCGAGATATTACAACGATTTTCTACATTACCTGGAGCCTACAAAATACAAATGATCAATGCAGTTGAACATTTATGTGACTTAAATGCTCATGATTTTGTTATCAAACCACGAACGTCATTTATATTTACGACCGAAGATGAAGAAGACGTAGATGATGAAACAAGCAACAATATACAACAAATGAATGATAGTAACATTACCAAGAGTAATAAAGATTCCTGTAAGCGTGTTTTCTCTGAAAACATTGATGAAGATGACCAAGAACACTTGAATGTTAATCAAAATATGACAATGAATTGCCCTTCCAGTCGTACTGAAGAGTTGCTATTATCAGCCAATACACAACAGCTTTTTTTGGCAAATTTTTTTAGACAATATCTTGCAGCATTGATGCGATATGAAGAAAGCCGATATCGCTCTCAAAAAATCTCAAAACCATTACCTTTTCATATAGTTGTGAATGGTTTAGCGGGCTCTGGAAAATCCTATGTTATCTCTATTATTGAACAGATGTTAATTGAGTTTTGTATTAGTGAATCAGCTACTCGAAATCGTCCACGTAGACTAAAAGGATTACTTAAGATGGCTCATACTGGCAAAGCTGCTTTAAATATTCATGGTTGGACTATACATACTGCTCTAGGCATGGTAATTGTTAAATTGTTTTCATATCATAAATATTGATATCATTGCCAATTAGCGTCCTGACAACACATCTACACCGAATAATGCTCCATCCTTTAAAATACATTCGATTCGACAACGACTTGGTGATTTGATTTTAATAATCATCGATGAAGTGTCACTTGTGTCTTACAATCTTTTTCAAAAAGTGAACAAACGACTAAACGAAGTGTTTGAAGTAGCCGACAAAACTGACGCCTATTTTGGAAACATTCCAGTTTTATTATTTGGCGACTTAGCACAATGTGAACCAGTTGCTGCCAAACAAATTTTTTGGCGACCTTCCGGTGAAAGTTTCTCACTTTGGTCTGATTTATTCAGACCAATCAACTTCAATATCAACATGCGACAAGGTGAAGATAGAGAGTTCTTCGATATTCTATGTCGGATAAGATTAGGTATACCATTCTTTACTGATAGTAGACATGATAGTAAAATCTTTTCAGGTGAATACAATGAACAAGATGAAATGAAGATCAGAAGTAGAAGTATTCGAAAAGAAGATAACTCTCTTTACTACAAAGAAAGATTAGCAGAATTAGAGTCAACAGACTTTCAAAATGCCATATATGCATTCAGTGTAAGAACCAAAACAAATGAAAGAAACTCTATAAAACTTCAAGAAACAGCAATGAAACTAAAAACTTCAATATGGATAATTCAATCCATTGACGTTTGTTGAGACCTATTAAAAAGGCTTAATGCTTATTAATGTTTTTCTTTAGAAAGTTGGCATGGCTCGGTCATTATTTTTTAGTCCAGTACAAGCAAGTAAAAAAGCATGCAAAATTGATTTAAAACCTTCTGATGATGAAAATGAGTGTGCATCTATGTTTGAGCAATTACCAATATGTATTGGCGCACGTGTAATATGTCGACGTAATATTGATTTTGATGGAAAAATGGTGAACGGAACCGAAGCAATCATAAAAGATATAGTATGGGATAAAGATGATAATATTATGTTACCAATGTCAAATCGATGTGTTTTTCCAAATTTAAACCGAGCATTAACTGTGAAATTACCAAAATATATTGAACTCGGTAACAAATAAAGAAAAATAGACACAAAATGATGTTTTTCTTCTCTGCTAGAATTAGATAATGGTTCAATGTATAAAATGACTCCAGAAGAAGTTAGTTTCAAAGACCAAAATGGTGTATCGATGACAAGAAAACAATATCCACTCAGTTTAGGCTATGCAATAACAGTACACCGATCACAGTGTATGACTTATAATAAGCTAGTCGTCGATTTAACTGGTGTAAATTGGAAGCCTGGTATGTTTTATACAATCTTGAGTCGTACACGAAGATTGACTGATATCATTATCTTGGCATATGATCGTAAATCATTCAAAGTAGTAAATTTTGTTATGAAACACTGTTTACCATGTCTTAAAATACTAGGTATCTAAACCAGCACTAAATGAGATGTCTCGTTTAAACAAAATCGAAGAACAATATCCGATCAAAATTGAGCAATACTTGAAAAATGAGGTACTTAGTAGTGTTCTTCAAATGTAGAAATTTTTATAGATCAATATAGAGATACATAGAGTGGTGTCTACCGAATTCATCTGATTCTGAGCAAATATCACCAACAATATCAAATACGAATAAAGAATTGTTATCAAATACAAATAATAAATTAATATCAAATACAAATAATAAATCAATATCCAATTGCATCAACACAAAACAAATACAGTTAGAATGCATGTTACCGATCACAACTAACTCAATAACAAAACCCGAACATGTTATCATTTGTGAGGAACAGGAAGAACACTTTTGTGGACGACATGCTCTACGTGCACTCTCACAAAGACTTGATTTATTTAGTGATGAGTATTTATTTGATATCGCTGAAAATATAGCAGCTACAGAGCAAATATGTCGAAGTGGACAACCAGTACAACTTACCGATTACTATTACAAATACACGGGAGATTATGATATTCAAGTGCTGCAGCTTGCTCTTCAGAATACATTGAACGTGCACCTTCTACGAATCGATAAGTTAGAACATACTGGCTGTCCTATTCGGAATCTTATTTTATCAAATATTGAACATATTCAAGCATTTCTAATTCAACAAGATTATCACTACTATTGTCTTCGTAGTTTTCGATCGACTAAAGATTATTTCTTTAAAATTGATTCTAAATATTCAATGTACCATGAACCTATTCGTCGTGGACGGTTATTCGAATATCTTGCAGAACTTCTCAATTCAAACTCCGCTATCTTTGTCATCATAGAACATACAGCACAAAATTTAAATGAACAAATTACTATCAATAATATTCAAAAAGCATTATGGCCTTTACCAGATGCTCCTGCTGATTTTGAACTTTTTCCTGGGTTTGGTTTATCAGATAAATAATACTTCAAAACGAGAATAACTACATATGATTGCCACAAATAAAAAAAGAATAAATAGAGACCAAAATCTATAATTTATGATAAATTTATTATTAGAAGTAAACTGATAAAGATTTCTTCAAATGTATTGATATCTTTTGTAATTTTACTCAAAGTTCTTTTTAACATCATAACAATATAGATAGACTAGCTGTATTGAAATCATTACTTTTGTTTTTTGATAAGTTTTATGAATATATTTTCTTTTTTAACGAACTTCATAGATGTAAGTAGATTTTGCTTGTGCACAAAAAGAAAACTTTAAATATGAAAAATTCCAATCCAAATAAAAATCATTCATTAAAATATAATTTGCTGATTTATGCGCTTCTTCATATTGAAATATATTCTTCATTTTGTTTGCTCTATTATTGTTATAATTAAAATTTTTTAACCATTATTTTTTTGCAATAGTGTACTTGTTTGAATGGATATTTTATTTTTACCAATATTACCAAATGAAATAATTGATCGTATAAGCAAAGAATTATCTGGAATGGATCTATTTCGCTTCACATTAGCTACTCATCCTGCTCTTAGTATTAGCAATTATCATTTAATACAATTACTTTATTTGCAACCTGATCTTTCATTGGATAAAGAAACAAAATCATTGCTTGATATGCGAAAATCACCATATTTCCTTTCAGAAAATAGTATTATGCTTACATTATCATCATACAAATGGAATAGTTTTGTTTATGGACCATTCACATTAATGATAATTGAAAAAACGTTAAAGCATTATTCAACGAGCCTGTTCTGTTTATACTGCAGACTATGGTCATTTAATCCATTCCATTACACATGTTCTTATCCTACTTTAGATATTTTTAACTATTCATGTGAGAGATATTTTATTTTTCATATCTATTTTTAGGAAAAATTAAACTTTGAATGTATTCTATTTTTGCTCAACTCAAATGATAGGTTTTAATTAGTATACATTTTTCAATTATGAAATTAGAATATTGTTATACATTTCTTCCACTGATAAATAAATTCTTTGTAACAACCTGTTCTTTAATAAGTAGCACAGACTAAATTGAAATAAAAATTTCTAGCATAACGAATTGATCTACATAAAAATAAATAAAAATATCATCGAAAATATAATTATATTGTTTCTATATTCTTGATATGAACAGATCTTCTTGAACCACGTTTATTAAAAAATGAAGAATTAATGCTATTCAAAATTTGGGGCAACAATCGAACTTCACCAAATATTGTAACCAACTTGAATCAATTTATAGAAAACCTGACGTGCCGATATGAATATGATATTTGGGGTCCTTATATTAATTGGGATACATTTATTATTGCTGGTGGTTCAGTTATCTCATCTTTACTTGCCGAACCTTTAACAAAAAATACATCTGATATCGATTTATTTTTTTTACAACAAAACTCACGATTATTTAAAACTGCAGTAGTAAGTCTAACAATTGTTTTTACTCTTATTTCTTAATACTAGAAATAATCATCTTATTCTGAACATAATAGTTGAATGTTATAAAAAAAATGTTTTTCAAATCTTACCTCCAATTCAAACTTACTTCAAAATATTTTATAATCAATAAAATAAAATAAGTCTGACATGTTTCTGTATCATATTTTCTAATTTAATCAATATCAGCTATAAAAGAAAACATTACTTCATCTAAGTATAAACCGATACCTAATATCACCAAATTGCGATTGTTGTAATTTATTAAATATTGTGAACTAATTCAAAAAAAAACAATAAGTAGTTTGTTATAGATTGACAAAGTAAATTGAAACAATTGTACAATCGGAACAAATGAAATATGTGTGAATTTCTAGCTGATTAATACAAAGCACATTAGTATAATATTAATTAGTTTCGCTAGAAAAAAACATTCCTTAGATAGCGATGGTAGTTTTCGGATTTATGAAATATTGGTATACTATTTTACATAAAATATAATAAAAATTCAGTTCAATTAACCATTTCTCTTAAGCTATCATTTGTTTTTGTTGGTTATCTTTAGAATGAACTAGAAAATCAATTACAAAGCAAGTACTTTGTTCGACGTAAAACTATTTGGTCCAACAGACTAATTCAATTTGATTTATATCGAAAAATCACAATCAACGACATTTTCAATGGCAACAACTTCTCACCATCAATCATTATTCAACTTATTTGTCCAACTTTGTATCCTATCACTGTTTCACGAATTCTACATTCATTTGATCTTGATATTTGTGCTTGTGCATTTGACTCTAAACGAGTACTTATTTCCTTTAGTTGTTTGCAAGCACTGAATTCTGGTCATACAACATGCTATGCAATGCCAGTGACTAACTCGCAATATATGAGAAGGGTTCCACGTTTACTTAAATATCAACAACGTGGTTTTAATATTCTTTGTCCAAAAGAATTCGACATAAATGCATTTCTCACTACAAGTATTGAAAATTGCAACGAATCTCAATTTGAACGAACATACCGTTTTCGAAGACGCCATTTCGGTGACAATCATGATTCATTCTGCCTACAGAAAAAATTTTGTGAACATCATAGTTTAATATAAATTCTAAAGATAGCATTAGAAAAGCCAATATTGATATTCTACGTATCATATATCAAGACTATATCTAAACAAAAATATTTCTTTATCCATTATGATTCAGTACAGAGAATGTTTGTTAAACAATCCAAAATTTTTTCTGCCATTCCTGCATTCTCTCATAATTAACAACTTTATTTACTCACAATCATAACAAATTCCACATCGATATTCTTAAATGATTATTTATTTTATTTTTGATAGTATTCACCTGCGTAAAAAAGAATCGAAATAATTTTGAAATTATTCTACTTTGTAAACTCATTTGAGTTGCTAAAATTTTTGTCACATAAATTAATGTCTCAGCCATGAAATCATTTTCTAATTTAATAATATCAATCCTTGGAGTCAAGTAAACTCACAAAGTCTTTATTTTTCAAAAACAACAAGATTCACATAACTAGACAGTCATCTGATAAAATAACTTTGAAAAACTGATAATTCCTTGAAACGTATTTTACTTTTGACAATGTCACTTCATTTACTACAAAATTTATCTCTCTTTTTTTACTAACAATTGCAACACAAAATAAAACGTGATAGTTATATTCTTTTCATATTGTTTCATAGACCAATTCTCTCTACTATGTAACTTGTTAAACTTTCGATTTAATATATCGTCTTTGAGCATTTTTTTTAATAATCAAACATCCATCAAATCTAAATTGCAATTTCATTTTCATTCAACAAATAACATCAAGAAGATTCTCTAATTCATCAATCTTTCTAAAGATTTTTAATTTAAGACTACCTGTTTTGTGTCAATTCACTTTACAATAGATCACTATATTATATTTATTATTACATTCATTTTATATATTTTTTCTTATATATATATATAATTATACCTAACTCACTAGTGATCTTGCATATGTTGTACATCTAAAATCGTAGGAATATCTTAGTTATTTTCTCAAATAAACATTAACACTCAAATATCAAAGACAATATGTCGAAGTCATTGAACCAAAACTATATTTTTTTTCTTATTGAACAACAGTTTATATCGTTGATATTTATAATATTACTATAAAAATCAAATAAATTCATTTCAGTAATACTATATACTATTAAAAAAATATTGTGCTATTCTTTATATATCATTTTTTTAAACTTCATTTGACTTTTCTTTTTTTGAATTTTTTATATCATAAAACTAGTTCACAATGAAAAAACATTTAATAGAGTTAAAAACGATAATATTTCGAACATACAAGCTAATTCAGTACTAGAAGGTATCATTGTTATGGTTGATGGTATTTCTAATTTGCAACTTGATAGCAGAACCAAATTTTGGACGGCTTTATTATGTGGCAAAGATCAGAAAATCCATCGAATAACAAAATATTTATCATCAACAGGAACATGCATGCTTCATACAAAACTGATTGGACACTATAACAATCAATCTGCGCTCAAGTTAAATAAGTTCAAAATTAATGCTGAAAATGCGTTTGTTGTTACATCAGGAACGATAGCTACAGCAATAAATCTAACATTCAAACCTTCATGTATTCAACATACGACAATAAAAAACATTCAATCTATGTCAGATGGAGAATATCTAACATTTTCATGTAAAATTATAGACATTGGCTCAGTAAGCCTTCAAAAAAAACCAATTTCTTAGCAAATATTTTCTTTTTGCGGAGGAAATTGTATTGTTTAATAATGCACATAAAAGGATTCAAAAGTTTTAAAAAAGCTGTCCTAGTGGCTGATAAAACTGATTGCATCAAATTAATATTTGGGGGAATAATTTTACATTTATACAAAAGGATCAATGTTACGTGATTAAATTAGCAAAAGTAAAAATACTTAATGATGACATATCTGTAACAACGACAACACATACAACGTGAGCTACTCTATTATTTCTCTTCATTTTTTTATTATTTATAAACACCTTTCAAATTGAGAAATATCTCTTAATATATACTTCTAAAAAATCTGTAAAAATATTTTTTTAGATTTGAATCTATCGAAAACATCGGTGATGTTGTCTCTTGTGATTTTCTTAACATCATACAAGAATCATCAATAGCAGGTACAATAACATCAATTGTATCAATAGAGTAGCCTTGTTTTTGTCCACAATGTTATTCAACTGATGTTGAGTATAATGGCAACACTATTAAGTGTATAACATGTAAATCAAGATCATTGTATTTACAAGACTCAATTCAACAAAACCAAATCAAACTTAATGTAACCGATATTAATCATAACATGTTTGAATTCATTATTGAAAAATTAAAAATTCAAGTTTTATTAAAAGAATCTAATCATGAACAACTTTCGCAAAAACGATTTTCTCGAAGATGAAGACGTATTACTAAAGGGTGTCGTCCAAGAACGTTTTTATTAATTTTAATTCAACAGCGATGCATATAAATACCATTCCGTTAAAATATTTCTAGTATAACTAAATAAATTTTATTAAACATGAATAAAACTAAGCATTTCTAAATTCCTAACACTTTAAGAAATAATGCATAGCTTTTTCCTATTTTCGAATTTCACCATTTTTCCTATCTAGATATTTATGCTGCTTCAAGTATACATTCTACACTTTCGCTGGATCTAATCATTTATATAGATTCTTGTATTTTCTTTCATAGAAATGTTTACCTATATGGTTATCTGAAAACGTCATAAATCAGCCAACAATTTCATACCTTTACGCTGCTTCATATATATCAGATTCAAACACACGATGATTTCTGTTTCTTTATCATCGAACTATTACATATAATTGTTCAACCAAATTAACTGTAGTATCCTCATAAAACAAAAACTAGGATTAAAGCTCACCAAATCAAACCTTACATTTTTGTCTATTTTTTTTTGTGAGAAAAATTTTTTCATTTTTTAACAAATAGATTGATAATTCGGCTTTCAATAATTATCAGATGCTAGTAATTTAGCCAACAGTTTTTTATCGTTCAATAACTTACTATTTTTATGGTTCATACTTAATCTATTAGTATCAACTAAAAAAAAATTATTTTAAGCACTACCTTATTCATGCAATAAAAAAATAACGCGCTGTTTTTAAAATCTAATTTTCTTCATTTTAATCTCACTTGATTTTTTGTTACTTTAACTCTTGTTGATTTTTTCACAAAATTTTTCTATGAAACGAACATTTAATATGATTCAAAATACAAATAACTCGAATCCAAAACCGAATATAACGCTCGAAGGTATAATAGTGGCAGTATCAGATATTTCTGATAATCAAACTCAGAAGAAAGGCAAATATTGGACAGCATTACTTTGCGATATAAATCAGAATATCAATCGAATAACAAAATACTTGTCATCAAAAACAAATTGTTCCCTTCATGTAAAAATGATCGAACATTTGAATAATCAACATGGCGTTCGACTCAATAAATTAAAGCATAATGGTGATAATACATACGTTGCAACGATTGAAACCATTGCAACACCAACACTCTTAACATTAACACCTTTATGTACTAAAACCAGTACGATTAAAAATATCGAATCCATGTCCGATGGTGAACATGTATCATTTGCATGTAAAATAATCGATATTGGTTCTGTAAGAATTTTAAAAGTAATTTACTATTCATGTTACTGTTTGTTATTCAGGATGAGACTGTTGTGTTCAATAATGGATTAAAACGTATACAAAAATTAAAGAGAACTACATTGGTAGCTGATGAAACTGATTCTATAACCATGAATATTTGGGAAAATCAATTTAATATGATAAAGAAGGATCTATCTTATTTAATTAAATTAGCAAAAGTCAAAATTTTCAATGATAATATTTCGATAACAACAACAACACATACAACGTGAGTTTTCTTCTGTTTGTTTCTATGATAGTTTGTTGTGCTACTGTTCAAAAAAAAAAATTTCTAAATTCGTTTGTAATATTATATATTAATATCTAATTATACATTAAAATGTTTACTACATCGTCTAGCTTTGAACCAATTCAAGATATCGGTAACATCAATATGTCAGATTCTATTCAGATTTTACATGAAACAGCAATAACCGGTGTCATTACATCGATCGGTTTAGTACAGCAACGTTCTACATGTCCGAATTGTTATTCTACTGATGTTGAATGTAATGGTAAAACTATTAGATGTATGACATGCCAATCAAGATCATTATATTCAAATAATTCTCTTACGCTAAATGAGATCAAACTTAACATCATGACTAATGATAAAAATATATTTGAACTTATTGTCAATACATCAAAAGTTCAAGCCTTATTAGAACAAAGCAACCATCAAGATCTTTCTCAAACCGACTTAGTTGAACAGGAAGATGTTTTACTTGCCTTATCCTCGATAAATGTTTTCGTTCATTTTGATCCAAGAAATATGCACGTACATAATATAGTATTGAGTAATATCGAAAATAACTAAAATAAAATTTTACAAAATAAACTTCAAATAAAAAGCTTAAAAGAATCTTGTCATTTGAAAAAATAATAACTATATTCTTCTCGCTATTAACTTCACTGTCATAAGAATCAAATACACTAATCATCGCACAAACGATCATATCAAAGTTCCACTCTACATAAGTATATAATATGCGTACTTGTAACTTCTGTTGCAGATATAATTCTAATGTAAATAGTATGAAATCTCTATATAGTTCTAAGAAAATCGATAGACTCTCTGCTTGTTTACATAAATTACCAAGAATTACACTCGCAATATCAAGTCATATGATATCCAAATATATAGAAATATATTCCTTTATAAATATAAATAATTAAAGTAGCTGTCATATAAAATTATCATTTCCATCCTAACAAAATATACAAATTAGTATCTCGTATATTTTTGTTCCTATTTCAATAATAAAATGCTGATAATTCTAACAAAATTAGATATCTTATATCGTACTATTCAGATCAAATAAAATTTTAAATTTCTTCTATATTAATCTTTTGTTCTTTATAA